AGCAGAACTGTTGGCCATACCTTGTGAAGAGAAAAGTTGGCTTCTCCAACTACAACAATGACATCAGTTGGGATTTCTTGAGAAAAAACCCTGGACTCAGACAATAAGGAAAATTGTAAGACTAACAAGAAATCAAGAAACTAAAACAAGTAGATTGTGTCTGAAATGTAATCAAGAAAAGAAAAGAGAAAAAGGGGAAGAAATTTACCACTGTCCAGTTCTCTCCATTACAAGAGAGAGTCTGTTGGCCATGTTAGATGAGATCAAGCTAAAAAGATGACTTGAAGGGTGTTATATAAAAAGGAGGCTAATTTATCTTGTTAGTTGCTTTTTCCATGCAAATAATTAATCACTTTTCTTGAAAGGAAAAAAAAAGGATAAAAAATAAATTGGCTTTTAAGGGGACAGGATTCTTATCTCTGTTGTCTCATTGGGACTTTTATCTGTTCACAACCTTTTTTTATGTAGTTTTGAAGTTGTAGGAGACTCCATTGTCTATTATGCCCTGCAGATTCCTTTAGCTGATAGCTGATCGACTCATGAGTTTTAAGTACACTGATATTTTACTTATATTGTACTTATATTGAGGACAGAAAGGGAAAGTGGATTTCACAACTTCATATGTTAATTAAAACTACTCCCATTTATATTACAAATTGCCCTCACGATGGGTCTCTCTAGTCTCTACCAATGGGCTTTAAATTATGACAACAAAACAAGATATACAGAAAAATTGGGTCAGCTAATGTGCGTCGGTCTCACTTCACAATGATCTGAGATTTTCAGCCACTCAAACAAGTGGCTCACACATCAAAGGAAATATCCTTGGCTGCTTTAAGGCCACGTCACCGGTTTACACGTCATCCGGTCCAACTCTCAGCTTCATCGCTTGTACTGACAGGATAACTCGCAGCACGAGGTGGGCCCGTGACGGTATCTGAATCTGACCAATAGGGAGCGTACGCGTGGCTACACTGTTCTACTTTTATCCATATCTTTATTATTAATACTAGTACGTAACCCGTGCGATGCACGGGATGTAATATTTGAAAGAATAATATAATCTCACGTGTATTAGGATCGAAATTGAAATCATTAAAATACATAGGAACATTGTTGAATCATAAAAAGTTCGGTAACAATCATATATTATTAAAAACCTCCTTGTACACAATATTATGAGTTTGATTATTTGGTAACTCCTCGTTATGACAAACTAATATTTTCAAAAGAGACAAATCCTAAAAATCCAACTAATATTTTTGGTGAACAAACTAATATTTTAGGATTGGTGAACAAACTAATATTTTAAGATTTTTAGGATTTGTCTCTTTTTGGTGAACAAACTAATATTTTAGGATTGGTTATATGAATAAGGCTACCTGTTTTTGGTGTTTTTTTCATTCATTTTCATTCAAACAATCCGATTACTTGTATAATAAAATCCAAATCTTAAGCCGAAATATTTAAAAAAAGAGTTTTTAAAAATTGAAAAGTCAAGGCAATCAGTTCAGATTAATTAAAGGTCAAAGAATATCCGCTCATTGAAATAAAGACATGTGCTATCATTAACCAAATATTCGGTTATTGATATAGAGTGGTTACCAAAAAATAGAATGCGATAAGGACGCTTCATGGAAATATCAATTGGATAAAGTCATAACAGATTGCTATACATTTTAACGATTAAAGCTCAGATAGAATGATTTATGATAATTATGTCGTAATTAATGAATTAATTAGATGTGTGAAAATGACATAATTAATGACAAGTGTGAAAAGGACATAATTAATGACAAGTGTGAAAAAGACATAATTAATGAGAAATGTGAAAAGGACAAAAACTTACCAGTTTTGGAAAATATTTAATGCAAATCCGACATTGACCATAATTTGACCTACTATTTTGGATAAATGTTAATTCTTATTATATAAGTATAGATTTTATCCATTTTTGGCAATCGAATCAGTGTATTAAAATGCGTATAGTATAATGCGTTGCGTTTTGGTTACTCTGTAGCGTAAATAGCGTTGCGTGTTGCGTAAGCTATTTGAGTATAAAAATTATTTTTATAGAAATATTATAAAATATTTACATATAATAAAACTGGATGATTTGATTCCAAAAATTATCATAATATTTGAATGAATTCAAAAATAACATCTAAGAATTATTTTTCACAAATGTTTAATGTAAATGTCATAACATAAATATTTAAATAATAAAGAGAACATACTAAAAAGTAAAAACAAACAGCGAAAATATAATGAAGTAAGTCATATATAATTTAATTTTAAGTATATGCATTTTATAGTTGTTATTTTTATTTAAGTACAAATTAATTCTAAACATTGTATATAAACATTTAATTCTTTATTTAAATGTTAAATATCGAAAATTAAAATTGATATAATAAAAATAAACCGATAAATATTACACTATTCAATTTAGGACTTTGTATTTTCAAACTTTTAATTTAAATTCATTATCAAAAGTTTACTTTTTAGTAGCCATGACTTTAATCTTTATAAAATACGAGTTTTAATTTAGAATATTTTATTGTTTAAATATCATTACAAAAATGTAGCGCAATATCGCGCACAATAGCGTGAAATAGCACAAAATAGCGTAAAAAAGCGTTCCATTTCAGCATTTTGCGTATGCTTTTCGGGAAAAACGCTAAATATATAACGCTACGTCGCGTTTTTTAGAAGAAAAAAAAAACTACATAGCGAGTTATTTATAACAATGCTTACGATTCTGTATGCTCATTTATCCCATTGGTTAAGATAATATATTTTTTCATTGAAATTATTTGTTGTTGAAAAAGAATTTTTCTACTCATGCATATCTTTTTTATGCAATTCACACTAAAATTTATGTATACGCTTCGGTCCATATGCATGCACGTATTCAATACCTATAATGAATGTTTGTGTTGAATATTGAGAAATTGTGGTTTACTTGTAAAGTTGTTCTTTCTATACAATTAAGTTCATTCAATCTCAATAGTCTCTAAATTTCTTCTTCATCTAATAGTGGATTCTAAGAAGATTTTATTGTGTAAATCAAGTCGCTCATCGGATAGGGTTAGCTCTTTGAGACACGAACTTGCCTCCAACGAGCTGAGCTCAAACTTGCTAATAGCTCGATACAACTTGACAAACAAAATTTTATGTAAGTTGCTTAATTATTAGGTTATCTCAACTCGTTAATGCTAGGGTTTATCTCATTAATTCTTATAAATTAGCCTAACTTGAGCATGTTTTATTGGCTTGATTGGTTAACAATATTGGCTTAATTATTCGATAAAGGCTTGAGTGCGTGCTCGATTATTAGAGTTGTAGCTTTGCTTGTTTAAAGCTCTAATTAATTGTGTCAAATCTGAGGTTGTTTTAGGAACCTTTTGTGTTTTTACATGTGTCTATTCACAATCTTTTCTCTTCACTCACATCCATACTTCTTTCAAGGTAAATGGAGATTCATTGTTTGGTAGACCAAACATATATACTACTTGCAGATGTACATAAAACAAAGTAACCTATGAGATCAATCCAGATAGAACCTCTAACTCGGATTGGAACTCATCACGATCATATTTGGGAGCCCACCTTAGTACATTGGGACCATTGATCATATAAGATTGTGGATGAAATTGAGTTCAATGTGGGAGATCCATTTAAGCGTTGTCCAAATTAGCTGTTGATGGTCACAACTTCATTCTTTCAAGGGCCCTACCAAGTTTGGCCTGCTTAGTATATGAATTATCCACATTTTCGGCCCATTTATTTTGCCCACTGATTGTTTGTTTGTATTGGTTTGGGGCCTTTTCCTTTTGCACTTTCTGAGATTTTCATTATTTCGTAAGTTTTGATTCTCTTATGCCACTGTTTGATTATTAAGAAAGGAAAAAAAAAATAAAAAATAAAATAAAGCACGATTGTATGGTGTATTAGTTTTTGTCATTTCGTTTTTTTGTTATATATTGTTAATCTTCTTTTGTGAGAGTGTTTGTCTTCTCCATTTGGAGTGTTGTATGTTTCATTGTTTGTGTGTTTGTGTTGTCTAGTCTTCTTAAACGCCTGTGTAATTTTAAGGGAAAGTGTACATTGTTTTTGATTTATTTGGTGGTAATACAATTTTCGATCCTTTGAAAAAAATTGAGGAATATAACTTTTTCGAAATGCTAATGAGTTCAATAATAATAGTTGTGTTATTTGCTAATTTGCAAATGAGCTTAGACATGACCAAAATTCGGGCCTCCCTGAATCGGCACGGACATATGCTCGTGCCGGGTTCATGACCTGGTTAACCGGGCTAGGCCGGGCCGTCATTTTTTTGAAAAAATATAGAATAATATAAAAAAATAAAAAACTAAAAAAAAGGGGTCATTGGCCCGGACCTGGCCCGGCCCGTCGAAAATTCGATCCGTGCTCAGACCCGTGGTCAACGGGTTTGACCGAGCCAGGTCCGGGGTCCCGTGGCCACGTCTAAATGAGCTGAGTCATGAATTAACCTTATTTGAGGTAGAAAGTGTTTTATTGTTGTTATAGCTCGACTTGTATAGTGTTGGCTCGACTTGATAAAAAAGCTTGAAATTAACTTTAATTTCATCAGTTTGAATTTCACTTGTGATTGGTTCAAATGTTCAATAAAGTTTTTCTATTCATGTAAGATTTTTTTTTCCCTTCAAGTTTAGCTTTAGTTCGACTCAAATTGAGCTCATATTAGGAGTGTTTAGGTAAAAATATTTATATTAGAGCGCCTCATCAAAGTCATCAAACATTTCGGCTTATAATGTATTCAATTAAGATTTCAAATGACTTGAGACATTTTAAGATTTTGATATTTGTTAAAATTTCAATATTTTGGAGAAATTCCGTGAAATCTTAAGTTTGGAGGTGGATTTGAAGTAGGATTTTGTATAAGATTTTTTGTTTAGAAATCCCACCAAATCTTAAAAAGTCTTAACAAATCCTAGCGTCAAATAAATTAAATACCTCAAGATTTTGTATGACTTTTTAAAATCCCAATTGAATACCTCAAGATTTTTAAAAGCCTTAACAAATCTAAATTGAATACACCAGGATTTCTAAAATCTTAAAAAATCCTTAGAAATCCTAAATTGAATACACCAAGATTTGAGTTTGAGTCCGACTTGCTCGAGATCAGTTCATTTGCAGTCATAGTATTTGTCTAAGAAATTTCTCAATACATTTCTAAAGATTTTTGTCAATACATTTCTAATTTCAAACTCCCTATACTTCATGTTTCTTTTCCTCCTTTTTTTTTTTATAATATTTTTTAATTACAAATATTCTATAGTTTATGAATGATTGATTTTTAATTTATTTTTTTTCATTAAATTTTAAATTACACTAGTTTTCAAAATTTTAAATGGTTTATATATGTTTTTCTTAAATGTTGTTTCTTTACAAAAGTTCTTAAAAATTATAATAAATATATAAAATCCCATTTATATATAATTCTCGAATATGCTGAGTCTAAGTGGCAGGCTCGCATGCTTCGGGATCATATGTGGCAAAATTTCATGTTTCATTATTTGACTTGGATAAATTTTAACTTACTTCCAATTCAAAAAAGTTATGTCTGAATTATCTATAAATATGGTCATTTTAGATGTATTTATTGCATTTCAAAATCATTTCATATTGGA